TTTTTACCGTTTTAGCATCTTTGTTATCCCAGAAAGCGGCAACGAAATCTTCCAGATCGACCATATACCTGAATACGAAATAAAAATATAGAAGCTGTGATCAGGAACAATGTCAAAAATCCAGAGAATCTGAGCATTTAGTTATGATCTGCCAAAGGAAATAACGTATGAACGAAATAAATGTCATATTTTCCGAATGTGAAGGATCCGCAAATCGGGGGTTTGGCGGCAAAGAACATGAGCTCTGTCCACCGGCTTTTGCGCAGTATATGCGATTCGGTAGAATGGGTAAACCACAGAATCAACTTTGATTGTTTCTGCCTCCATACTTAGCGTCAGCGTTGAGCAGCGTTTTGAGAGATTAGAGAAGCACAGACATCGATCTAGCGTTTTGGGTAGTTTTCAGTTTCCGCGGACAGTTGCTGAAAACGCTGGAGTGCGCCAAAAACGCTGAATCGATACCTTTACTTTCCTAGTCTCACAACGCTGCCGTATGCTTAAGCGCCCTCGCAGAGTAGGAACGCCGCTTAATTTGAACCCGCTAGATCTCGCAAATCGCCCCTTTCCACATTCAGTGCAAGAGTACGGCTTAAACGCGATAAGAACTTCACTTACAATAGGATCACCTCAATTTGAGAGCCATGAAATTGAGATGTAACAGTGTGAAAGAATAAGAATTAAGAACGAGACAACTACCTTATGTAGAAGCGTGGTGTAGATATGTTCTGTCGGGCGAACACCGTTTTTGACTTATCGTATGCTTTGCACAGATCGTCGAATACTAAAAACAGCCATCATTAACGCATTTCAATGTTCTCCCAAATGAGTCAGTTGAGCGGATGGTGCAGTAGGCAGGAAGTCTGGGCCTCTGACTTTTTTGTTCGTCTGTTCTCTCCCAGTAAGATAGTGTTCCTCTCCGAAAATGTTCATACTTGGCGGCTTGTCATGACCGCGCAATCGATCGATTGTGATTCTAGTCGTTAGTATGAACGCACTCTTGAGAATGAACGCAGACGACCAACTAGTGGGCGACGCCTTCTATCGCCTACTGCTCCTCCTGCCAACTATCTTATGGTTAACACCGATGAATGATTTGATATCAAGTATACTGACCTGCCAGGATTTTAGTAAAATCTTTGTTGTTCTTGCCATTATTGATTTGTTTGATGTGGTCTTTGAGCTCTTTGAATTTTTTCTCTTTGTGGGTACGTACCACGCGTTTCTCTTCATCTTCACTGTCACTCGGATAGGCGAAATCACGAGCTCTGAAATGAGATCATTCAAAAAAATATTTGATAATTATTCCTAGGAATGGAGAATGGCCAGGGCCAGGTAAGATAGCGCTCAGATAAAGACATGGTCCGCGTTTATGTGACGTTCAGATTCAAGAGGTGCTGCCAGCAAGCGTGGAGGATGTACTATTTTCATAGCTCAAAAATACATGACGAAAGCGCGGCACGACCCGCTCGCGACAATGCCATAGCCCCGCCCACTGGCCATGGCAACGCCCAAGTTTCATTCCCGAAGCCTTCTGTCGTTCTGCGTTGACAGGGAAAGAGCGCTCACCACCGAATATCCATCCGACCACGCCCTTTCTCGCCTTCGGCACGTGCGTACGCGGTTTCTGAGACATAAGACAGACCTGTGGATAAGGCAAACCTCCGCTTAGAATGTCTTTTTTCGCTTTCGTGTTGGATATTTCTTATTTTCTCTTATTTATGAGGACGACCTGTTTTGAACAGGAAGTGCTGGAGAACCAAATAAAAAAATAAGAGCTCACAAAATTGACTAAAGAATCGCAGCTGTATTTGAAACTCTTCGTTACAATAACCAAAAAAATAGCACTATACCCCAAAAAAAGAGGGAACTTTCCTTCCCACTTCACATATGCTTCCATCTGAATACAAGGAAATTTGCTCCAAACCAAGGAAAAACTCACAGCGGTACTTTTTTAGTCTGTACCTCCTCCTCAACATCAGAAACGTCGGATTCCGACGAAGATTCAGAGCTGACGGCTCCTTTGAAGAATTTGGACATCTTGAATGTGCGGTGGGTAAGCCGTCAAATGTGTTCACCCAAGCAGCTGCTCTGTAAATGCGCGATTATTCTCCAAATACAAAAAGCTCATTGCTATGAGAGGTACCAACGCCTAAACTTTCTGGTATACTCAGAGATGGAATCAAGTAATAAATGAGAGGTGAATGAGCGAAAATTTGGCCTACAAATAAGAGATGGACCAGTGTGATTCGGAAGATGAGAGAAAAACAAAATGAAACCGAACATTACCAGAAGTGTCCACCATTCACTAAAGCTAATGAAAATGGCGAGGGTACTCCTTGAATGATAAGAAGAAAGATGAAAGAAGACATACAATCCACAAAACTTGGTTTAGGATCAAATCCCAGCTGAATATATTGTGAAATTCCCAGCGTGAGATGAAGGAGAGTGTCTGCAAAATTACGGTAGCATTCGTTGCGTCACCTACACCATACATCACGCCCGACGAATTCCTCCGAGTGTCTGCAGTCTGTCTAGATGCTACCGGGAATTTGAAATGGTACATATGCATATGTGACAACCACGGCAAGTCGTGAGTTAGAGATCCTCAGCAAGAGAGGGGGGTCATATTTGACCGCTCTAGGGAGGGCTAGTTTGCTTGTAAGAGAAAAGGGTTCTTTTTTCGGTTGCTGATTTCCTGACTTCGTCTTTCTGGGGACTGACGTTGTTAGAGGGGCGGCGGAGGTGGGGACCAATTGCCAGCGCCTCATCATCATACCACTCACTCTTATCGAGTTTCAGGTTTGGTAAGACCATTTTTTCTTTCTTCACGCCTGAGCTTTTTGAGATAGGAATTCATTGATGTGGTCGAGTGGTTCCCCCTCCCCCCCCCCCGGCTACGTTTGCGCTTTTTTTTACGTTCGCCATATACTCTTTATCTCGAGACGGGGTAGGCGTGACATTTGAACACGGCATAGGGCGGGCTACGCGTCAGATATTTCAATTTGAGACAACCAGCATCTGGTTCTTTGTTGGACAAAGGCATGACCACAGTTGTCTAAAGATGAAAATATTTCACCAAAAGCACAACCACCGCTGCGTTCGAAGTACGCAGCCACGCCTACCGCATCTCAGGGATTCCGGGTACCTATTCTCGACGCCAGCTTTCCCAGCATGCGGAAATTTTGTTACAAAAGTAGCAACGTTGGCCAGAAAAGCTAGGAGAAGTTACATATATCGGAAGGGTAGTATGGAAGGTCGAACCGCATAGAATGGAAATTTGAGGTCGCAGGGGATGTTATGTGCTCTGAGTGACCAAACCAATCGTAATTTGTCACGCTAGTGAGGCGTGGACGTGGGGGCGCCAATACCGATGTTTTCAAGTCAAGGATTAACCAAAGTCGCGGCCACAACTGTCTGCATGTTTAAGTCTGCGATGTGTAACCTTTCATGGAATCCGGTGGTCATTCGACGGGCTAACACAGACTGAGAAAACGCCGAGCCCATAAATGTGCGCGAGGGAGAGGCTAATTTCGATTGCCCTGACGTCTCCGTTATTTAAGGCAGGGCGGACTTGGTCAAAACAACGACACTTCGACGACGTGGGCACATACAGCAAAGTTTCGCGCCCAGGACAGTGGTTGGATACGAGTACCAAGGGCGAAGATACCCAATATGTTCTCGATAAGCAGCAGCTAGCGCTCTTCCGTCGCCATCACCTTCATGTACACACATCTCCAGTTCGCTGGCTGACTAGAGACTGACCATTTGGAATTCATGTCATCCTCAAACAGCTTGCAGAAAATCTCCGTGTGATTCATCCATAGCCTAACTGCGCAGCAGTACTCATCTCGCACTACCTGGAAGACATTCCAACATGAGCTCCGAGGAAAAAAAAAAAAAAAAAAAAAAAAAAAAAAAAAAAAAAAAAGAAAAAAACAAAAAACGTCGCTACGGTATAACATACATCTTCACGCGCGAGTCGGACCAAGGCACGGTTGATGTAATGACCGGACGTACCTGGAATTTTAAAGACCGATATTTTTCTTACATTGGAACCCCGGACTGAAGTGAGCCGCTGCGGTTACATGAGACGGCAACTCGGAAATATCCTTCTCACATGTCGTTGCCCGTACCTTCTTGGAAACTTTGTACTGCTACAGGATTGGGTGACACCACATGAAATTGAAGGGCGTTGGAAAAACTCTTGCCTACTTGGAATGGAAGGGAGTTGAGTACCTGAAGAAGATGGAATATCTAAGCAGGTCACCTGAACTAAACCCCCTCAAATCTACCTGAGTTTGGCGGAGTTCAAATAGGGTTGAACAGTGGACCGACGAGAAAACTCAACGAACTAGTCCCTCGATCACGGTCGCGTGAGCAAGAATCTCTCGATGGCGCTCGTCCAGAAGGCTGTGGCGGAGTATCATGATAGTATTTAATATGCTCTTTAATATGGTGGTAGAAATGTCCGATCAGAATTTAATAAAGTGTAACTTATAGCGCCTCGAAAGTCAAGGAAGGAAAGTGACTTTTTTTGCCCTCCCCTGTATACCAGAGTGCAACGATTCAGCTCAGGTTGTTTAATATCTGTGGAGTTCCTACCATGACAAGAAGTAAGTTGACGCAAGGCGGGGTTTAGGGGGTGCCACTCAATCGCGCCCATGTGTCTCATCCTCCAAATCAGTCAGAGAGGAAGAAATGAACATAAGTTGAAGAACTACAAAACACAGATAGTCTTTGACCCCAGACGAACCACTCTTATTCCGTCTAGCCCGGCGCTCCTCACCCAGAAACTATCTTTTTTATTCACCCAACATCGGTTTTTCTTTCTCTTCACTAGCTCCTTGTGTGCAGCCCTTTGGTGCACACCGTCGTGACCATTTGGTTGCTAAGGGGTAGGTCGTCAGTTCTACGTTGCAGCCACGCGCATAAACAAGCAGAGTATTTCCTAACTAATTAACTTGAGACACAACTGCACTGCCTCGTCGAATCAGTCGGATGTTGGTGCGAATGTCGCGCGCGTGACTTGCTTGTGGTTTGCAACGTTGCTTTCGACACCCGCAACGTGAAGCTAACACCCGAAATCCCGTCGAAAAAAGTAATTCTGCGATCAAACTTCACACTATAGGCAGAATAACTTTGAAATTCTGAGTGCCGAAAAATGTTGTCCGATCGCAAATTCAATGCAAAGATTTATCTCATAGCTTTGATTTTGTGATGTCACGAAAATTATCACAGTTGATTGTTTTGAGAGCTGATTTCGTCTCTGTTGATACATATTTCCATTCTATCGGCATTCCAAATTCCGTTTGTTTAGTTGGATTGTCATCAACAATTTGGCCGCATCGGAATGTGAAATAGTAGTTCTTCGACCGAGTAGCGCCAAGTGCGCGCTGAAAATAGGGTGTTACGGCGTTTTCCGGTTTGGACGTTAGCAAAGCCAAAGCCGTTGTTACGTTAAAGACGCACATTAAGAGTTCTTGGATGGGCAGAACCTCGCCTGGCGTCTTTCCTCATCAGCTCGAACGGCTTTTCCTCTTTCTTATCGACATGAAAATGAGGTTACACCAATAAGAAAGCGCAATAGTAGGCACCGCCCCGCCCGCACGACGAACGCGCAATGAGTCCTTAATATGGCGAGACTATCAACAGCTGACTTAGCTTTTGGGTAAAACCTCATTGAGAAAGGAACAAGTCAGTGTAATCAGGGGCGGGGAGAGAGGGAAGTGAGCGTCTTGGCCACATGAAACGTAGGTTGCACTTGATTAAATTTTTCCACTGTCAATACCAGCGATGCCCCTATGTGCTCTTTGGGGGGGGGGGGAAGGTGGGCGTGGACTATCGGAATTTCTCGCCAGGGATCCACCTCACAACGTCTATCCTCACCTCTTCAACGCGTCAATCTCTGCTACCGATGGCATATTTCTCCTTGCATGGTAGGAATTACTAGATACGCGATTTCGAAATTCTGCAGGTGCCCGTGTGGTTGCTGTGGGCCACAGGTCATTGTGCAATAAATAAATAATCAATAAATAAAAAATAAAATAAATTAAGATGAATAAATAATAAAGGGTATAAACTAGATCTAAAATGGCCCCTTTTAGGATGCGCCACCCCTTCTATTTCCACTCAGAATCGTGGCTTATTGAACGGGACATGGTCTATGAAATGCGGGTACCAGCCGCTGGTAAGTCAGTGTGAGTTTACCCTTCTGGAGCCGATTTCTCGTCCTCAGAGGGAGAATTGGTTGGCCTGGGTGGGAGCCTATCCCGGTTCTCTATCCCGGATGTTGCGTTTGGTGAGAGGAGCACTTGCCTCCACTACATCTCCACCTCAAATAGATGAGTAGCTAAATAAATCAGGGAATAACTAAGGAAATAAGTAAGTAATAAAGTATCTGGCAAGTTTATTTATGAGAAACCATTAATTGAATGAAGCAATGCAAAAGACTAAAAATAACAAATTTCTTACCAGCAAGAAGATATTCTTTGCCTATTTGTAACGTGATCCCACATGCTTCATCACTGGATGGAGTGTTGATAGTTGTAGACAGTTGTGGAACATTCTGAGGTTTCTGAAGGGAT